AAAATGGAAGAAATTCTTATTGATGTACATCATTTATTTATTTATGATATATGAAATACAAGAATTATGTTCAATAGAAAATGATTTACAATGTTACTGTCTAGTCGGAATAAATGCAAGGTAAATATAAGAAATATTCAAAAATAGTTTCTAGATTTTTTATTTAAGATAAAATCTTCATGAATATAAATAACAAGAAAGAAAACTCTAGTCGATACTGACTCCACTACTTCCTACTAATTGAAATAAGCAATTTCATACACTTAATGGTATTCAATATACCACGAAAGTTTTCTAAAACTAGAATATATAAAATAGTACGTCATGAACAAATTGTATTGATATTTAGACGAGTGTTTTATGTATTTGAATAAATATTATTTAACACGATCAAAATTTATTTTCCAACATGTTCAACTTGTACATCAATTGATAGTGGATGACATGAGAATAAAAACTCCTTTAGCAATTATTTGTTTTATTTTATCTAGTTATTCTCATTTGATGAATCTCCACGTCAACTAACTTTTAAAATATTCTATGCTATTGTCAATGCTCCTAACCAGGATTGTCAGATCGAGAATTAAGCAATCAAAAAGTGTTTCTTTTAATGTTTAAATAGCTAATTTTTTCCAAAAAAAAAACATACTATATTTATTTTTGTTAGCTTTTTCGAGACAATATATGGAAACATATTTCATAAACAATCAAAGAAAATATTAATTTACATACAAAGTTTACTCATGATTAAAAAACTTGCATAAGCCATTTAAACAAGACCACTTTGTTTTTTTCAATAAATGTTAGAAGCAACTTGACGAAAAGAATAGAACCTACACTATAAATTTATACATACACATGCATTTGATAAAATTTGTGAAAAAGAAACTAAGATTTATTCAATGCAACGTTCTTTTTTTTTTGTTCATTCTTCTTTTATTAGTTCGAAAGTTCTTCAAAACATCAAATTTAAGTAGAAAGTGTTGATGGATATATCCGCAAGAATAATCGAAACTTCTTCTGATATTCAATTTGGCAGTAATTAATTCAGTATCTATACAATTGTGATTGGTTTTATTGTACCTACAACCGGACAAAAAATATTCAAAAAGCAAAAAAATTCGCAATTATTAGTACAATAAACTAACAGGGATAGTTAGTTCATTGAGATAGAAAATTGAACCATTATTTTCTATAAATCATTCTAATTTTATTGGAGGATGAGCTTTCAGAGCATTGAAATGTACTTTATTGAGTTCGTATCACTGCACTACTCAATAATTATAATGAAATAAAGATCTCGCAGTATATATGTCGTAGCCAGTCATCGTTAAATTATTCTGAACTGTTCCAAAAACTTGAATTTAAAAAAAAAACTCCAAAAACCGGAGAATAATAGGAAATTGGAACGTCGGAAAGTCGTCGGAAAAAATTTCAAAAATCGGAATTTTCCCTGCCATATCGGAGGATTTGACAACTGTGCTCCTAGCCTATCTCTGGTGTAACAAGAATATTTAAGAGATAAATTTTATTGTAAAATATGTTCTCATACATGCTGTTTATTTTATATATCGTTTTTGTGTCCTAATTTATTTCATCAATATTCTTCAGAAACACATATTTAACACCACATAATTTTGTTCATGAAACGGAGAAAAAAATCAATTTTCATTTTTGTGAAAATCTTCGACACGATCTGATCGCTTGTTTAAAGGTTATTTTCATTATTAATTCAAAAACATACAGTAATAATAATCTGAAAAATTTAGATTAATTTTTTTGTAAAAGAATATTCTATTGATTTAATGAAAATTATTTTTTACCAGATTCCAATTAACTTTAAGAACATCACAGTACTCAATAGTATGAAATGAAATATCTAAAAGTAAATTAAGTTACTCTTTTGTTTTTGTTCTTGTTCAATCATTTGTGTATTACTGTATCCGAGAGATTTTATAGTTTTATATATTATCATTTTATTTTGTTATTCGAAAGAAAAACATGTCTAATTGTACTTATTCATTATTTTTCTATTACAAATTTCTATTAAATATTCTACAAATGAAATATTACCACCATTAGATGATACTTTCTATTGTTAATCGACATAAAGGATGTTCTAGAAGTTCTGAAGCGATTTTAAAATTCATCATTCTCGCATTCAACAAAAGGAAGCTCTTTGAAACTTTGATAGATTATTGTACATATGTAGTACTACATAATCACAAAGTCTGAGATCTATAGTTTGTACTATGAATGAGAAACCATCATAACACTGCCATGTACTATATTTTAAATTTTCAAGCGGCTAAAATTTGATATAAAAAAGACACGAAAGTTGTTATTTCGACGGTTTCTTTAATTAACATGTGTCAGAACAGAAAATTTTCCTTTTACCAACATATTTTTGCTTGTACACATGTTGATCACAGGGATATATAAAGTTCAATATTAACTAGTTACGATTGAATCAATACAGAATGTTACATGAACAATCTGCTAGCAAAAAAAAAAATTTTCGTTGTTTCGTATTACATTTAAAAAAATTACATCTGTTATAGAAACGGAAAGATATTACAAAATTTCACCTTCCTATACAACAACAAATGCTTTGAAGCTCAAAGTTTGGAAGCTATTGAAGAGAAGTTACCAAGAACGTGAATATATTAAAATGAATGATAGATAAAATATCAGTCTAATTAAAATTACTTACTTATCTATCAAGTTGATAATCAAATACAGAAATACTGATAACTTTTGATTTGTTTTATTTTATGTTCACAAATCATATTGTTTTTGAAATAAGAAACCAAGATGATCAGAAAAATTTAAGAAATAGTACATGACAGTGTTGTTACAATTTCTCGTCCAAAGTACAAACTATAAAACTCAAGCTTTGTGATTATGTAGCACTACATATATACAATAATTTGCCAGTTTCAAAGAGCTTACTTTTGTTAAACGCAAGCACGATGAACTTTAAAATCGTTTTAGAAATTCTGGAACATCCTTTATATATTATAAAAGTGACGTACCTTTCCTATATATATACGAATAAAACTTGATAAACAAATTTGTTTTTTCAATAATTTCCTATCACTGAAAATAATTTTGATACGTGACATCTGTAAATCAAATAGCCCATGAAAATTGTGTTATTATTATCAATGGATGTTAGTTGTCATGAATATTAAATTGTATTCAATTAAAAACTCATTTATTGTAATAGAATTATTATTCTTAATACTTATTTAAAGATTATCTTCGAAATTTTAATAAAAATCGAAATTTTGAGTTAGAGCTCGAGTTTATTATGTTAAATAAATAATGAACTATGGTAAACCAATGCATTACTAATTATTATACTAAATAGTTTTGATATAATTATTCATTTATGTCAAAATATTAAGAACAATTATTAATGTTATTTAACATTCTTTTTTATTGCTATTGAAAAGTATTTAAGTCATTTTCATCCTTCTTACTATGGAAAGAATAAAATATCCACAATATCTGAATTTGAAACTTATTTTCACTCGATTTTTCTTCGAAATACACAATGTGAACTGAACAAAAGCATAAGACGATCTGTAATATCTAAGGAATTTCTTCGAAAATAATGGATACACCATAATAATATATGTTTCACTCTTATGTTCTATATTTGAGTGATGCAATACTTATTATTCAAGTTCTAGCTTTGATCTATTTGAATAGAAAATAGAATTATTTACATAACTATTGATTTCATTTTTCAGAAAGATTTTTCATGCAAATATCAACTTCATCATATTAAAACTAATTTAAATATCAAACTATGAATTTCTATTTAAATTAAATGACATAAACATCAAAATTCCATTTTTTAAAATTCTTGAAAGGCAGAAAATATTCTTTTTTTCAGAGAAATTTCTCATTTTAGCAGTAACTACTACACTTCTAATACGAAGAGTTTGAATATTTTTAATAAATAGTGATATCTTAATAATGAGACTACGTCTGAATAATAGATTATAACGCATAATTATTTTTGTTTTCTTTTAAGCTTTTTAATAGTAAAATAAAATAAATAAAATCTTCTTGAGGGTGTGGGTTTGAACAAAAACGTCAAATACTCACACTCACACTCACATTTCATCCATACCCAAACTAACACCCACACCCATCCACACCCACACACACCATAGATCTGCCTACATTTCCGATTTGGAGGCATGATGCAATACAAGAATACGACTTGAATACATCAACTAGACGCTGTGTGAATTTTGAAGGTGGGCATGGGTGTGAATGTATGTGTGATGAAAAAATGAATATACACCCACATCCACACCTACGCCCACCCCATGATGCGAAAAATATTTCGAGCATTTCATAAACAATGAAAACTGGACACGAAATAGTCTTAGTCTGAAAAATCGATGAAATAAAAAAGGATCTATCGCCTACCAAAAAACAATGTTTTTTTAGAATACCGAAAATTAATCGAGTAGAGTTGATAGTTTTTGATTGTAAATTGTAGAGCTTTTTTGCAGCATCTTGTGATATATCCTATTTATAAATAAAATATACTACATAGTCGAAAGATGAAATACAAAAAAAAATATCATTCATTATGATTTACTTATTGTATCACCTTAATTGACTCTACTTTATTTTTATTGCGCCTCTATCTTCACTCTCAAAATGTGAAAACAGCCGTGTGATAATAATGTAATACACTTTCTCGGCTTACCAATCGATCTATATGCACATTAGGATTAAAAGACACCTGTTTCAGCTGTATATATTTTTCATATTTTTAATAGGCATTCTTTTGTGCTATAACTGTAATGTTGTTCTTATGCAGTTTGCTCGTCATTGTGGTCTCTTTGAATAATATCGTCTATGCATGTGATAAAGATCCACATCAAGGTGTTTTAGTTGTTGCTATCGGATCATTTCTTTCAGCAAGCAATGAGCAAGGTGTCAACTAGTCACCATCGGAAACTAAAAGTCAAATGACATTCAATTCGGTAACTTGTCGATATGAAACAGTAATTAATAGATTGCCAACTAATACTAGCTATGAGTGGAAAGTTGCTTATAATGAAAACTGGGGTGGAGATCAAGGATGTAATGGAGATGCTAATTGTCAATTTAACAGTGGTTCTGCTGGTGCAGTACTTCTTATCTATAATCCATTTAGTGGACAACTGACGACAATCTCTATAAGTAGTAGTGAAACAACAGCTCCAGTTGTCTCTACTTCTGCACCATCAGTATGTTCAAATTCATTCAAAGATTGTATAGTTCGAGCATCGGAAGATTATCAAACTGAATTAGGTAGTGCAGCTCCATGGTTCCCTACAGAAGCAAATAGTTTAATGACATTTGATGAAACATCTTGTCTATATTTACTTATTCTTTCTGGTTTGATACCAAATAAATTCTATGAATGGAAAGTTACTTTTGATAATTCATGATCCGGTAGCATTGGCTGTGAAAATGGTGCTAATTGTAAATTTTCAACAAGTGCATCTGGTACTGTTGAACTTGTTTTTGAACCTAGTTCAAAGCAATTATCATTTCGTCCTCTTGCAACTATTTGTGGTAATGGTCAATGTGAATTAGGTGAAACATGTCCAAGTGATTATGGTAAATGTCCAATATGTGGTGATAGTATATGTCAAACAAGTGAAACATATCAAACATGTTCACAAGATTGTTCAAATGAACTATCTGGATGTGGAATATTTAAAGAAGAGAGTTGTGTAGATGATTCACAATTTCATGCAACACCAGGTGTTGAAGAAAAGCGTTGGCAAACACCAAAACCTAATATGAATGGTTATCAATCATCATTTCAAGATTATCATACACTTGTTGGCTATGCTGATATCATCTATATAGATACTGATCGTCTTGCAGCTGATGTTTGTCTTCAAACAAAACATCGTCAATCAAATTCAATCACATTAACTTATTTTTTTGATGGTATTGCACAAGCAACAAAATATAAACATTATACCAGTGCATATACTGATATTTTATCGGCAGTTATAACTGGAAGTGATAGATCAACATTAGAATTACCTGAACTTGATTTTATATGGAATGCTAAACTAATCTTTAGTCGATCAGGTGATTATCGCAATGGACAAAAAGGAGCTATAGCAGAAATGTTTGGATGGCCACATAAAGATGTGAAAGAAAAATGTGAATTTCTTGGTAAAGCTGGTTATTTAGGTGTGAAATTACTTCCTGTTCATGAACAACTTATGTCAACACAACCATTTGAAAATGCTATGAATCCATGGTATTTTATGTAAGTATATAGTCATTGAATAAAATAGATTTTATTTATTTTTGTTAGGTATCAGCCAGTTTCATATAATTTAGATGGTCGAATGGGTACACGTGAAGAATTACATGATTTAATTCAAATATGTCGAAGTTATGGTGCTCGAGTATATATAGATGCTGTACTTAATCATTTTACAGGTGTTGGTAATGATCTTAATCAACATCGCAATCCAAATAGTGGTTGTGTCAAATGGGGTAATAAAACAAGTAGTACACCTATTGAACGTCAATCACCATTTTATACACATGCTTTTACTTATCAATACAATTCGAATACAGGAAAAGCGCCATCAAATGAATTTCCAGCTGCTGCTAGTGGTCCGGAAGATTTTCATTGTGATCGTCCAAAAGGTGCTTGGACTAATTTATTTATATTAAAACAATAGATGACTAGTTGGTCTTGTTGATATGTTAAGTTTAGGTGCTAGTGGTTTTCGTATTGATGCAGCTAAACATATATCACCTGAAGATTTATCAGCAATAATGAAAAAAGTTCAAATTAAAATGGGTGGTAAATTACCAGATGATTTTTTTGTCTGGCTTGAAGTTCTTACAGGTAATAGAATTAGTATTTATCATATGTATATTTGTATTTTACAAAAGGTGGAGAAGCACAATATATTTGGACAGGACCTTCATGGTATGGTACTAAGTTTACAAATATTCTCAAACAAGATCTCATTTTAGATTCAGAAGTGGATAAGATCAAAGTAAAATTTTTCGAATTATTTTCATAATATTTTTTAATTTTTATCTTATTATGATAATAGATGTGGGATGGTCTTTATCCAAAAGAACTATTTCATAATCCAACTGTACCATGTCATCGTGTAGTTATTCAAAATGATGATCATGATCAACAAAATCCAGGTTGAAGTAGTCATGATATGGATACTTTTGGTTGTGTTCTTGTTAAAAATTGTTCTGCATTAGTTCATCGCAATTTTGAAATTCGTCTTTTTACGAATCCAAACGGTGTAACTGATAATAATAATGATTGGCCTATTCGATTTATTCTTTCATCTTATTATCATACGTATGGAGATCTTGGTATACCTGATAGAAAATCATCATGTGATCTATGTACCGTAATGTGTGAAACATGTCGTAAATCAGTACCTTATATCAAAGCATATGAACCTATGGCATGTGCATATGTTGGTAATGGATGTACACGTACACATCGTGATATACCTGTAATCAATGCAATACGCGCATGGATGAAATTAACACCAATATCAGGAGCATCATTGGATATTGGACACTGTACTTAAAGACAAATAATATCGCTTATTATTTTGCAATAATGTTGAAGTTTTTCAATCACACAAACTAATATCTAATTAATCGAACCTATATTGTGTTTTATAATTCAATAAAGTAATGCCATATATCCAAAGAATCCGAAATGAAGGAGAAGTATTCGATTATGAGAGGATTTGACGACGAAGGATATGTGTCTTCCTGATTGATCTAAGATAAAACTAAAATATGCTTTTCCTTTCAGTTCTTAGCCTAAGATCATCTAGAGACATATATTGCAGGACTTATTTCTACAGGAGGTGATACAAAGTGAAAAAAGCACAAGTTTCGTACTTCTGTGCACTCTAATAGTACACCCAAGCTATCCTCAAGAACTTTTAGTTATTTCAAGTGTGCTATCAACGTATATCAAGAGTATATTGATTTGAATTCATTCTACATAATTCTGTCTGGTAATAAAGCACAAATACTTCATTGCACTGTAAAATTTGAGCATTAGTGAAGTATGATGAAGTATTTAGACTTCATTGTCGAAAATCTTTACATAGAATGAACTCAAACTGAGGGTGTGGGTTCGGATGAATGAAAGATTCGCACCCACACCCACACTCTCAATGATCGTTCTCTAAAATATTGATTTTTTTGCTTACACTAAAAATGATCATGGTCCGGTTGCGTGATTTTATATCTTCGTACTACCCACAACCAAAAAATAATTGTGCGAAAAGAAAATCTGCGAGGGCGGAGGGGTATAAGCGCCACTGCATTTAGCTCAAATAGACGTGCATTAGTGGAATAACTAGTTTTTGATAAAACGAGTTCTTCTATTCCTTTTCAATCTGCTTCAAGAAATCGTCAATGGTAGCTTCGACTGAAATGTAATTATCATAGAATATATTTCTTTTCTGCATCGGTGACCAACAACATTGATTGATATGATCTTAAAAAATACTATGTTATGTGAAACAATTATTATCAATATAAAGTTTTAGTTTATTTTCAAGTTAAAATGGAAAAGAATTTACATTGAGTAAATATAAATCATCATATAAAAATATCGTTTTATTTAGATTAGTTTTCTTTTTTTTTTCTCAATACTAATTTGTTTTTCAAATACAGAATACTTTTCCCAAATTTTGATGACCGAAATTTTCTAAAAAATTTAAAATAATATTGAATTAATTTTATTCACACTTATCTAAATAATTATGGATCCAATGATAAATAATTTTTATTTACATCAAAACTTGAAAAATCTTAATGGTTCTATAGTATTTTGGAATGTGCACTGGCATATGATATGTGATCGTTTGATCATATGTGGTTCAATAGAGTAAACGATAGTTAAGTTGTAAATTTTATGCATGTTTGAATCTAAACTTCTGCCTGATATTTTTATTATTTTAGACTAGTCCAGATCACATCGCTACGTAATGCAGACTTCAAGCTGTATCGTCACGGATACTCTTCTTTTTTCGATTGGAATTCTATTTTAAATCAGTGTCAGGACGGCACAAGATGTCTAGTCTTTTTTTTTTCAAAAAAGACAGAACATGGCAGATACAATGATGCCAGTCACCTATGTAGTCAAGACCGCGTCTAAAGACTTCGAGCAATTTCGGACTAGTCCTATATCAGCACCCTTCAGAAAAAGATTTGACGTGAGGTATAGTCGCGACTAGAAAAACGACTAGTCTTTTTACTTGCCTTTTGCTCGCCAGAGAATATTTGTTGTTTTGTAGGCTTCATAATTGTTATGTATTAGATTCTTTATTCAGAATTAGTTGTTTTTATTCTTTTTTACCATTTTGTCTGTTTAGACTCTGGTGTAATATCCAATATCTTAGGGTGTGAGTGTGACTGAAGAAGGGAAAAACACCGACACTTACACTCACACATCCACACCCACACCTACACCCGGATACGAAAACAGATACAATCGCAAAACAAATAACAACAGTGCTATGAAGGGCGATACCCAGAATATCCAGAAAACTGATGGTTACGATCACGATAAAAAAAACAGAGAACAAATTATATCACGAAACAGAAGAAGGACGATGAAAACCAACAAAAAGACGATGCGAATAGGAGATCTTAAAGCTATTTTTATCGGATCAACAAATTAAATCTGTAGTGATTCGCTCAAATAATTGAGTTCAAATCTCTGATACTATCCTAGTGCCATTTGATAAGATGAGTCTTTCTCAACAACATCGAAATACCAGGTATTGTGGTAGCTTTACGCACCCACATTTACACCCAAATCTTCATATTTATTTACAATTAGTTGCTTGTATAAGTATAAAATAACAACATAGAAATAAATATACAAAAAAAAATTGCACATTTATCAGAGGAGATACTCATATAATTAAAAACAATTCCATTCTAGTTCATATATTAGACATGAGAAATTGTATAATCGTTTATACATAGTAATTTGGCGATATTAATACATCATCGAAGATGACAAGTTGATCATCCGTAAATTTTTCTCGATGTTGATGCCATGAATCATGATGAGTACGACGAAATTCTGATAAAGTTTTTTTTAACTGATTTCTAATTTAAAAAAAGAAACATAAACATAATCAGCATCTTCAAATAACTAACTAACTTGAATAAGATCTGGATCATGTAAATGTTCACATAGAAGCATTAATGCAGCCGGTACATAATTTGAGATATCGTATGGACTTGAAAGAACAATTGTACAAAGACCAAGAACACCTGAGAATATAAATTCAATAATTAATTTCAAATCAATAATATAAACTAACCGCCATGTCGCTTAATAATTTTTTCAGTTATTATAATTTTCTTTCCATCTTTTTTAATAAAATACTTTATTTTATTCATTTGACTGAAATATTCCTAGAAACAAAATCTTCTTCATTAACTTGAATATATCCACATTGATAAAATCCTGATAATGTAATGGATGCAACTGAACGAACTTCAAATTGTTCATCAAATAAACATTTAAAAACAAGTTCATGTAATTGTTTTTTATATGATCCAGCATTGAATAGATTACAAAAAACCATATATTGTATAAATTCCATAGCTACCTGACGTGTATGCCATTTCGAAGTTGTGCAAACTTTTAGTGTTTTTTTTCGAATAAAAAATAAAATAATTTTTTTCTTTCTTTTAATTGAATATGTACTTACGTGTTCTAATTGTTCAATCAATGATTCAAGAAATGGTGTATGTAAAATAAGTCATAGCGACATGCATTCGACTGATGGTTAAATTTTCACTTGGAACAATACTTTCTAATTCACACAGCTAGAAAAATATATATAGACATATATATCAAATCAATATGAATATATTTAATTAAAATATACACATGGAAATAATCGAACAATTGCACTTTTCATTGGTCTTAGATACCACATAAATATATGTGTATGAAATCGAATCACTGTATTAAATAATGTAATGTAAAAATTTATTTTCTTTTTGTTTTGTGTATTACCTGTTTCCATAAAATTCAATGCTTTACGAGCTTCTTGATCAATTTCAATTTTGTCGTCAGAAATATTCGGTATAAAAGATAATTAAATCCATATGATTACTAGCAAGTGGTTTGTGTCGATAGTAATCCGATAAGAACTTATATGTATTGTTCGAGATCATGCAGTACTGAGCAAGAGTGCTGACCATTTTATTTCATGTTCCGGACCAGTTATTTATGGAAATCTAAGTTGAAAGATTCCTATTGATAAACAAGTCTCATGGGATAGACTGAAATTCTGAAGAAGTTCGTGCCATTAGTTTTTTCTTCTCAATTTATGCTCGTTTGATGGAGCTTTTCGTCGAAGAATAGCTCCAATGATCCCAATTATGTTCTGAAAATTTCAACTCAAATGGATCATTTTATCTTAAGATACTGTATGACTAAAATCTAGAATATTTTTGGAGCCCTTTTATGAAAATAATTTTTTTTTGCAAACGAATTATTTTAAAAGAAAAACATCGATTTGAGCTAAAACGTTCAATATATCATAAAGAATGAAATTTCTTATTGTAATTTTTCTCATAATATCCTACAATAGGCTAAAAGTTTTGTAAAAATGATTATAAATCAAGACGAAAAGTTGAATGGCATGAGTTCTTCCGGACTTTGTATCTACACGATGAGTCCTACTTAGAGTCGGATTGAGTTCCCGTGTTAGAAATTCAATATCTCAAGAAGAATACATTCCTTCGAGCTGAAATTTTTAGAATATTCTAATATCCATAAAACTCACATATAGCTAAAAAATTTGTCATTGAGTTTTCCGAAAATAGCTAGCCTGTAAGTCTGAATTCATATGGATTTTTTAAAATTTCATCTAGTGCTATTCATAATCAAAGTATGGGATCGAATGCCATTTGTTAACTGAATATACATGAAAATGGTAAAGAAATCTTACTCCAGAAAGCTATTGTCTTTCTTTGTATGTCAAAATCTCGTTAAATTAGATATTTCAAGTTGAAATTAGTGAATGGATTATTTAATAGAAAATTTAGACTGATTTTTTAGTAGAAATTGACCTAATGGCTTTTTTTCGTAAATTTCTATCGCTTGATGTAATCGTTCACGAATAGCATCAATAAAACGATTTGCATCGGGATGACGTGTTGATTGACCATTGGGTAGTTTAATGTCGAAACTAAGTGATACTGATAAAACAGTATGCAAACAAGAAAATTAATTATTATTCATTATAATCTATGATTTATTTTCTTTTACTTAGCAATATATTCTCGAACAGCTTTATATGGATGATCAAGGATTTCTTTGGCATATTCATTAATAGCACACCATAGAGCTGGTATACGCCATTCAAAAATAGTTAATTTTAAAACTAAAAACCAACGTGATGTTTCAAGAAATGTATTAACTATTGTTTTATTATTTATTAATGTACGAATAAATTCAATAAGACGATACATTCGACGAGGATCTAAATCTTCCTATAAGATAAAGAAATTTATTCATTAAAATAAGAAATTATTATTTAAACAAACCATGGCAAATTTAAAACATGCACCCCAATATGATAAAGTTTCAGGACTTAGATTAGCACAAACTTGATTAAGAAATGGAATTATTTTTTGTCATAATTCATCAAGCTAGAATAAATCGAATAGATTTTTATTTTATAAATAAATTCTTTTTTTTTTGTTTTTAAATACAAACCATTTGTAATGTCTAATGTTTCGAACCTCGAATCATTCCAGGAACAATCACAGCTGCTACTCGATGACAACCTTCGTATTTTTCTTTAGTTTTTTCATGAATTAATATATTTAATTGTTCCATAAAATGATCAATTAAACCCAAACCAAAATTTCGAGAAAGACCCTAAAAAAACGTTTTTATTTATAAATTGATTATATAAAATTGCAACATGTTCAGGCATAGTTTCTTTTGTATAACTTTCACGTTTATTCATTGGATATTTAATTATTTTTGGCCATTCATAATAACCATGATAACATTTATCTAAGAAACATGTTTGTTTCCATTCAATTTGTGTTTTAGGTGGTTGATAATCATTATATGTGATCCATAAATTATCTTTATGATCACCGGGACATGTGTTATTCGTATGATGTAAAAGATCATGACTTGATTTTCAAGATAAATTCTTGATGGTTTTTGTATACGACATAATGCTGATACACATTGTTCAGCTAGCTGAATAAAATGAAAAAAAGAAAAAACTTGTTTTCTTTGTTTTTGAACTAAGAGATTACGTTAAATTTTAATGTTATCATTACTATTTTTGTATTAAGGAGGTGAAATATTCATTTAACGTAATCACAATATTAAATATGAGATTGTTTAATGTAAGAAATAAAGTACAATGATAATAATCACATTTTTTTTAATCATTTTTCTGGATGTTTAGTTTCCAAGAAGGTTTTCAAAATATTTCTCATTGAGAATATTTCCTAGACTTCTAAGAATTTACTCCTTAGAAAAACGTTGATTAAAATTCGTTTAACTCATTAGAGAAGAGTTGTAATCAGTCAAAATTCATAAAATTAGGCTTTTTTACGTTATATAGAGTAAAAGAAAAAATTCATTAACCTTGCAGTAGCATGCTGTCGAGTGTCGAATAATGTTTCCTATGACACATGGACCTTTAGACTAGCAAACCTTATGATCCATTCAAAATTGAGTCTCTTGTCAGAAAATCGGAGGAATTCCTTAATATGTGCTCGAACATTCAGATGCGTTTGATGATTTTCCTGAACTTCATTTCTAAATGATCTCAGTCCGAAACATGATTTTTTTTCTAATAAACCGCAAGTGTATTTTATTCTATTCTAGAAAAAGAGTATCTGCTCCTAGTGACATGAAAATAGAATGTTTGTTAAATATACTCTAGACAAACCTTTCGTATATCATTATTTTCATGAGTGAGAAAGTCTACCATAATTCGAATGCATGATAATGGAATTTGAATTTATTTTTGAAGAAGAAATAAAATAAATATCATTATTATGATTTGTTGTCGATAAGTTCTAATATATGGAAAATAATGACAAAATTATAATTATTCGAAATGAATAAACTTACAATACATGATTATAAAATGATGAAGCTAATTTTTCTATTAAATTATTATATGAACAAATATTTGCTTCAATTCTTTCTTAATGTACTCGATTATATAATTCTAATTGATATTTTTCTAATTTACGCCATAGATCAATAGCTGCTTGTTTTGAAATTTCATTTGTATTTTCAACAATTGCTACATTATTAAAACGTTTATATATTTTTTCCATAATACAATTGATTAAATTTTATGTACTAAGTTTTCTTGCATGTTTTGTACATACAATTGATGGCCATAATTTTTCAAGTATTCCCCATGAATGTTTAGTCGGTAGAAAAAATGATTCATTGCCAAGAAGT